CAAGACTACTTATTCTCCTTAATGAAATCTAAATTTTCTATCTTGATACACAAAGCATCTTTTTGGTATAGAACCACCATTTTTTTTTGTGTAGGAACCATTTTCAGTGCATTAGACTGCTTGCTAACGTAGTTTGCAGTTTACTGGTGATTGGCCTTTCTCTTTTAAACAATAAATAGAAATTGTGACCCTTTCCTTGCAAAATAAAATGAATAGACTCACAATTTGGATTTCCAATAATCTTATTTGTACACAAGTTTGCAACACAGCAAACTTAACTGGGCTGCTCATTTCCATCAGTCTGCTGGACTTTTGTAAGAATATCAGTCTCACTATCTGTTAGCCATAATGTAATCTACCTTAGAAGGCTGTCAGCTCCTTGTCTTTCAAATAATTACAGTCAAGGAAAGCAAGACACACCCTCCCCTCTGCCTCCTTACACCAACTTTTTTTAATGGCATTTGGGTTTTTCAAAAATATTTATGGCCCAAGTCCTAGGGAAAATGCTGTGCTAAGCAGAACCGTGTTTTGTACAGGGTTTAATCCTACTTCAGGCAATTTCTGTACAAAGCTGCTGTCACTAAAAAAGTAGAATTATACACTGAAAAAAACACTCACCCACAGGAGGGTGCTCAGGAGCTTCTCTTTTTCTCACATCAGGGACTAAGAACTGAGTTTAGACACAGAGCAGCAGAGCATTGGAGTGCTCCTATGGGACAGTGACCTCTCCCCTTTTATTTCCCTCCTCTTTCACAAAGACATTCTGCCTGCAAGTCACACAGTCCTGCCTGAGCTTCAGGACTTTGTGGTAGGTCTGGAAGGGTTTGGTGAACAGGTTTAAACTAAGGCTTACATGAAAGCCCACCACATACTGTGGTGTACCATGGATGTCAGTGAGTTTTACCTCTCCTATTCTGCACGAGCCCTGTGGCAGTAACTTAAAAAATCTCTGATAAAGGCCACTGAGAGACAGCCAGGCTCAGGAACTCTTGGCAAAATTCTTCAAGGTCAGCAGGCAAGGTGAGGTGTTTTCAGGGGGGATATCTCCAAGAAAGCAGTGAGTTATTCCATTTAATGATTCTTACAAAGGTTGAACCAGTATAGTGGCTTTGAAACTGGGAGCAAAATAATTAAAATTTGCTACATCATGGGCTCTTTTATTCTGGCAAATCACAGATTGTTTCTGATAGGCACAAACTGTGGGGGCATTGTAAGGCTTTTCTTACAAGCAAAGGACACCACCCAAGCTCTGGTGTTTGCCTCTGGTCTCCATGTGTGGGAAAATGATAAAAAGATAATGGTACAGACATTATAAGGGAAAATACAGCTCCTTCTCCCTGGATAGAACACGGTCAGCATTCCCAAATTCCCACACAATCTGAGGGGGACTAAACATGGAGTGGAGTGGAGTGGAGTGGAGTGGAGATGTTACAGCTGGGCTCTGTTGAAACCCTTGCAAAGGAGGAAACTTGGTGGTACTTTCTGATAAACTGCACAGCATCTGAAAACTGAAGGAGATAAAAATGTCCTGCTGTTGAATCAGCAACTGTAGTGAAACCCCTCTCCTTGGGTAAAAACTCTACTCTGTGGAATGATCTTGAGCTGGCTTTTATTGGGACTGGAGCTTGTTAGGATATTGCTTTGAATTATTATATTGTTTGAATAGTTTTTTCAGTCAGACACAATCACCTGCAATCCTTGAACCTTAACCTGTCACTGTTTTATTAATAAGATATTATTCCATAAACTGTTAATGTGAGCCCTTCAGGAGTGCTGATACTGGGTGGATGTGTGGAGACCTAGAAGGAGGTTTTTGTGTTTGGTGTGTGACCCTGAACAAGTCAGCCAAGCCATCCTCTGACACAGCAGGACTGTTTTGGAAGAGTCTCTATAACAGGACACTGACAGACTGGTTGACCCAAGGGTCTTGGCTTTCCTGGGGCACTGACAGACTAATCAAACACTGAGGGTTTGAGAAAATCTCTCCTTTTCACAGACACCATGGCTGCAGTCAATCCAGCTGAAGCATAACCCCAACTCTGCTAGGACAGCTGACTTTCACAAATAAGACAAGCTCATTTCAGAAACTTCGTCAAAAGAGGGGAGGGCATAGGGAGGTGACAGTCAGAAATCTGTATCACCTCATCCTGAGCAAGCCACAGGATGATCACAGCTCAACCAACCTTTCTGTGGGGGAAGATGGTGCCTGAAGGGTGAGGTGCAGTGAGAGGGAAAAGGGACAAAGCCTCCTCATTCAAATCCCAGCAAGAGGATTCTCCAGCAAAGAACAAGCCCCACGTTATCTGGGAAGCTGGGCATTGTCCTCCCTGTTGTTCAATTTAAGAAGCACTTACACAGTGGTCTGACTTGAAAAACAGAGCTTTAGTATCCAGAGTGGTGTCTGACCAATAAATCAGGAGGTCAGCTCATCTCCAAGCACCATTTAGACTCTTTCTCACCATGAGCTAGATGCTGTAGCTTTTACCTGAAGCCTCATTTTTGTTTGCTTCAATACACCATCTGAATTAAACATAGGTGGCACTTGTGTGGTTCATTCAGAACTGAGTTTCCTAAAATACTGATAAAAAAGTATCAAAATATGGATTTATAACTGACTTTGGGAAATTTGGTCATGAAGAATAGCTTCACCTTTTCTTAAATGTTAGTATGAGGATTGTCTGACAAAGCCAAAGAATTCGGAAGTTTGATTCATTGTTTAATATCAAGTTGTAGATATTTACAACTGTTTTGTTTTGCCATTTATGCTTTCTGTTATACTCCTTCCATGCATTTATTGGACTCAGCAGTTCAATTAGATAATGTTGAATTCACTTTGACATTTATGCCTGGCAACAGCCTTTAAGGTCACAAGGTGATGATTTCCTCAGAGGAACCAAGCAAAAGTAGAAGGAAGGGGTTGTGGGGAGAGGGGAAAAAAATGTTTTGTTGAAATTTCTTTTGTGAGGCTGATTTGAGCAGTTACAGTTCTGGGTCTGTGAGGGGGGTGTGGGTATAAATACCAGCCAAGCTCTCCTCTCACTGTAGATATTCTCTTTTTTGCTAAATTGCCTCAGGCATGGTCTCTGCTCAACCCTGCTGTCTCTTCTTACCTGAGGACCTCGATTGGTGCCCTGCTGTTCTGCCAGGTCCCATCCAACCCTTGTAGGCACTTGCAGCACCCAGATTTTGTGTCACAGCCCCCCCCATTTTGCACTGGCAAAGGAGACCAGTGGCAGCATGGCCTGGGGGAGTGATGACGCTGGATATAGCAATTATCCCTCAAACATTCCCCTTCCTTAGATAGCTGCATAGTACTGCTGGTGTGCAGCAGTGTCTGTGAGCACGCTTAGAGGTCATGCATATTTTGCAGTGTAGTTATCTGGCTGTCAAAGGTATTGCTGACGTTTTGGTTGAGGACTGGAATTTGCTATATATAATTAACAGTAGGGGGTGGTGCTTTTTTGGATAATGAGGTCTTTAGATGCTGGAGGTTGAGAGTGGAAAAGGGATGCACATATGATCTTTTATATAAAGTAGTCTGGTGATAATGCCCAGCTCACGGTCCCTGGACTGGCTCTTTGATGTTCAGACCATGTATCAGATGTGAACGGAATGACTGACGGTCCTGGGACAACACATGGTGTCTAATGAGCTCACTGCGGCTCATCACTCCCGGTTCTGACATTTCAGTCTGAGCCCCTCAGCTTCTGAGGGTTGGATTCACCCTTTAGTTTGCCCACAGCTCTGTGTCTTTGAAAACTGGCCATCTCCAAGTCACCTCCAGAAGACAGAGCTCTTCCCGTGTACCACAAACCTCTCTGAATGGTGTCTGTGCTCTCACCTTGTCTTTCCACTGCCGACTGCCATCCTCCTCCAGGGTTTGGCTTGCAAGGCCAGCAGCCATCACCTCTGCATTCACATCCCACACACATTCACCAGGAGGAGGCAGAGGCAGAGGAATTAGGCTTTGCCTGAGCAGCCACAGAAACTCCTGTTACTGAGCTCCCTGGGGATTCCCTGTCACACAGAGCAGTGTGTGTCCTCGAGCTGCCGCGTGTGTGGCACCTGCTGCAAATAAACTGGGTGGAGTAGAACAGATGGGCTGAACTCTGCTCTTGGAAAGGACTTCCCCTCCTTCCATGGGATCCTGCCAGACTCTGCTGTGCATGGGAGCCAATGCAGCCTATCCCAGACATTCACTGTAGGACTGTGCTCACGGGTGTTGCTGATCCTGAATCCTTACACAGCAAAGATGCTCTCAGCACCCTCATGACTTCTGCCAAAACAATGGCTCAGCCAGGTTTCTGTGAACAGCACAGACATGCTGCTGGCTCACTGCATATGCTGCCATTTAAGAACATAAGAATTTTAATATGAGATAAGGAAAGTTATGTTGTTCCCTTGAAGTCACAATAGATTGTGACTGAACCTTCCTAAAACCTCATATTGATGGAGGAGGGACAGAGTTCCTCAGCAAATACCATTCCCAAACTTTGGATCCCCTGTTGTTTTGAGATTTAGAATTTGGGGATTGCCTGTCTTTAAAAGGCAAAATGGTATTTGCTCAATGGCCTAAGGACTATAGGTGAAAATAAGTCCTAGGTTTAATTATCATTTTGGTGGCTCTGGTTCTGTACATCAACAGGTCTACTTAAATTCAGAAATTACTCCATCTAGTATGTGGCATCTTAATATTTGATTAGTTTTTTAGACTTTGGATAATGGCTTTTTGGACAGATGTGATGTGTCACATTTCCTGGCTTTTAGAAGGGAATCGTGAGTCTCATGACCTTTCCTTTCCCAAGAGTTGCTTGCCACTGAACTCTGATGACACATGGTGCAAATAATTGTTTCAGCTAGGCTGGGTATTCCAAGCATGGCATTTCATATCCAGTTCACTTTTCAATGGTTTATTTGTAATTTCTGCTAAACCACAGTTGAAGTTATCCAGCATTTGGCCACTAGGTCAGTAACAGATGACCCTTGCCAACAGCACAGATTGCTTTGAAGGCCAGTATAACTAGAAAACTGAGAATAAATTGATAGGTTAAGAGGTTGTCTGTGGGAACTGATGCCCATCCTCTGTCCAAATGTCACTTTCCAGACTGCAATGCTGTCATCTGGCTGATCTTCTTCTCTGTTCCCCTGCTGCCCATGGCCTCAAGTAAAAGCACCTCTCTGTAGTCAGAGCTGAGTCTGAAAAAGAAGAAACTCTCAAAAATATCCTTTCAGAAAAAAAGAAAGGCTTCTTAAAAACAAGTCCTCGTGCTTTTGCCTTTATCACAGCCCACACTGCGGTACCAGCACCATCCAGCAACCCAGGATATTTTGTACTTCTGCTCTCAGATTCAATCCAGCCTGGTGAGTCCTGTCCTCGCCGCAATCCTGTGCTGGGAGCACCGGCCTGACCTTGGATTGTTTCTTGGGGCTCTTCCCCCTCAGCAGCACCCCCTTGTCCCCCGTCTGCCGCGCCCCTCGGTCCCTAGGAGTTGCACTCCTCGCAGTGGCAGGAGAGGATGTAGCGGTAGGTGGCCGTGAGCCGCATGCCCCCCGAGCACCGCAGCCTCATGGCCTTCAGCTTGGAGGTCTGGGGCCGGCAGCAGTGGCAGGTGGAGCGGAAGGGCTGCTTCAGGACCGTGCTGAAGGAAACCATGGGCTCCGAGCGCGAGGTCTGGCTGCAGCGGCCTTCGCAGCGAGCCAGCAGCACCATCTGCCAAGGAAAACACAGCGGTTAGGAAAAGTGTCCCCAGCACGCAGCCGGCACCAGCGGTGGGAGCCTCCTTCCGGCCTGGCTGGGCCTTTGTCACTGCATCCCAGCCCCACAGCGTGCTTTGCCCCTGGGTGTGTCTGAGGGAGTGGAGGGGATAAGGTGGGCAGGAGGAAAAGCAAGGCTCCTCCTGAAATCCCTGGCGCTGACACCAACAAGGACTGCAGGACCTGGACTGACCTTAGGGCTCCAAATGATCACAGCCAGCCCTGCTTTCCAGACACCATGACTGCACCTGTGACTTGCTGACTCCAGATCTGTGGCAGTCAAGCCCTTAAATCATCAGCCAGGCTGCTGCTTTGGTTGGGTATTTACCAGTGTTCTGAGTATACACACCAGCTGGTTCTTGTGGTGTTATATTTTAGTTAAATGGTGTGCTCTGTCTCACCCCTTGAAAATTTGCAGTTTATTCCAAGCCTGTGATCCTCCCCTGAAGTCTCACGTCTCTCTAATCCCATTGGCCCGAGTCTTATTCCGCAGCCACTTTGAATCTCCCTCTTAAGCTGTGTGAGAGAGACCAGACTCTCTCTTGGCCCTTCTCTCCCTAGGCTCTCCTTCTCTCCCCCTCCCTCCCCCTTCTCCCTTTCTCCCTCAGAAACCATGCTGCTCCCGGGGGTGGGACCCCCAATAAACCCTCATCTAATCAGCACCCTCAGAAGCCGTGTGGAGTTTCCTTGCCTTTCTGCTTCTACCAGAGAGCTCACAGCCTAGGGGCTCCTCTGGGGACTCCCCGGGGAGCCCCCCCAAACGAATTGCTACAAATTCTCATGTCTCAAGTTTAGATATATGAACATGTCAAGTAGAAATATAAAGAAGACGCTCTGTTTATTGCTTTAAAGAAGTAGTTTCTAGCTCATTCCTTTGATAAAGATCGCCTTGCACATGTATTTGCAATTATATGTGTATCTATGTATCATTGCATCAGTTGTATCTACATAAAATGCACTGCGTGGCATAAAGCAGTGAAAATGTAAAAGTAGGACTGGTTGGCATGAAGATTCTCTAGTGAGATTTTCAAAAAACAGTGCAGCTCCAGGTTTCTTATTCTGAGTTCAGATGTGAGCTGTGACCAGAGCAAGGTGACTTGCACAGCAAGAGGCACTAAGGAAGGAGGTCCCTGAGCAGTCACCTACTCCCCAACACCCACCCCCCTGAGCAGAGGAGATGCAGCATTAAGCACTACATAAATCTTGGAAAGGACCCTCTAAAGCTCAGCAAATGATGTGTTAGAAACAGCTGCTACCACCTTGATAATGGGTGTTGTACAAATTTGAACAGACTCCTATTCTTCCATGGGGACAGAAATATTAAATCCATGTCAGCTAATTTTGCTTAACCAACATAAACTTCAATATCAGCTTATTACATCATCTAAAGTAGTCAGTAAAACAGTTGTCTTTCTCATAACCAAGGAAGAACATTACATTTTAACCATTCTACATGTATCTCCTGTTTTTTTTCCCAGAAAATATGAAAGAATAACTACAAATGTGACAGCAAATACTTTAAAGTGTTAAAACTTTTGGGGCTTCTTTCATTACATAAGCTCAACTGGCTGCAAATCTCTAAGTTATGCAAGCAGGTACATCAAATGTTTAACTTTGTTTTTAGTCAGTGTTGTAAGGAAAGATGAGATAAAAGAGAGAGAGAGAGAATATTCCTGAAATCAAGTAGAAATGCCAGCACTGTCTGTATCCATGGGAAAGGTTCTGATCATCCATTGTACAGTGCTTAAAAATTACTCTTGCAAGAATGCTTGCACGCTAAATGTTTTGCTTGAAAATGTATTAATGTATTAATATATTAACAACTACTCTTTCAGTCAACACAGGTCCCAAAGATGTCTTCATGAGCTGGTGATCTGTGCTTGGTACCATTTTGCTTCTTAGTTAGAGATGGGCTTTTGTTGCTCTCTGACAAATCTGTCATCCTTTAAGATTTGTAGCATAAATTTATGGTCTCCTTCCAGTGATACTGCATATTCATACATAGATTAACTTCAGCTGTTTGTATTAATATGGTGGGAGGGAAATTTCAGTGTACTGTTGAGTCACACCTGAGCTTTAGACCCATCAGCTACGCCAAGCTCCTGAATAGCAGAGTCTTTAGTGTGCAGAGAACATGAAAGGGACAATCACTGCAGTGCTGTCACCTCATTACTCACGGATAAAGATCCACTTTTTTCCCTTTGCTAAACAAACCTCACTTCCCAGGCAGGCAGCTGGTGAAGGTATCTAATTAGGTACCAGCCATGCAGGTATTGAATCCTGCCTGTATTGCAAAGGAAAGGAGCAGACTGGGACATTTGACCCAGAAATTTCCTTCCCAGCATCTTGGCAGCTCTTGTCAGGTCCCCTGCTTTGACCAGTTCACCAGGCTGTGCACTCTCTGTCACAGGCTGCTCCCAAATGTTTGGCTGTACCACAGAATCAACCAGGTTGGAACAGACCTTGGAGATCATCAATAAATTCTGGGGGTGAAGAGCAATCCAACAGCACCTGACAAATGTTTGAAGAGACAATAGAGTTGAAATCTCCTCAGGAGTGGTGCAGGGGGATGTACAACAGCCAGAAATTGCTTTTGGGGAGGTTCAGAGTGTCCCTAGAGTCCTTTCCAAGAGTTCATTTCTATGATTTCAGCCTAAATGTGACAGCACACACTGCTGTAGTGTGGGGCAGACTTCTGCTATTTGATGCTTCAGGAGCTGGAAAAATCAGTCAGGTTCTGTTACCCTAAGAATTTTTATGGTACACATCTGGTCCAGTATCTGCAGGTACTTTCAGAAATGCCAATAAAAAAACATACCCTCATGAAACTGGCAGGACTAGAGAAGAGTTATCCAGAGTAATTATAGGATAGAATTATCTGATGTGCCAATATCTGTCTCAATATTAACAGCTGGCTTCCTAATACAAACCCAACCAATATTTAGTCAATGTGCTGCTGTATTTATAATTTATAATTTACAATTTATAATTTCTAATCCTTTTCTTTAAAAACTTTTTTTTAATCTGTGGAGGCTCTGATTTTAATCTGCAATTTTGCTGGCTAGTTAGTTTTCCATAAGATTAAAGTCAGGATTTATATCATGTAGAATCACACCATGTTGGTTTTATTCCTTGTTTTTGAAGGACAGTGTAAACTCTTACCAATGCCACAAACCCAAGGTTATCAAGTTGAACTTTCAGGCTAAAAAATATCAAATTTCCCATTTTCATAGCTTTCTAACCTTCTGGGCGACCTAAAGTCCTAACCAAAATTTACCTTCCTCCTCATAAATCCAGAACAGCACCAGTAGATTTTGGCAGGCGTGCAAATGAGCTGGAAATAGCACGTACTTTGAAAGCTTTGAATTTTAATCAATTGCACTGGCTGCTTATTGCTTCATGTACTATAGTGCAATAGAGATTATCGCCTAAATAATTAGTCGTGCTATGATGCATTGCACAATGATAGAGTGGGTGTGTAAATATGGTAAAAACATGTGGGTATTTGATAACCTGACACCTCTTGGCTCCCCTTGGCCCCTGCACATGAGAGTTTGTGCTTGTCACCTTGCAAGGCTGGATCCAGAAGCACAGTGTCCTACAACACATGGGTCTATGAGCAGCTAGAGAAGAATATTATTATCATTATCATCATCATTATCATCATCATCATCATCATCATTATTGTTATCATTATCGTTATCATTATCATTATTATTTAAAGTCAATGGTCTCATAGGTACAAAAGAGAGCAACCTGAATCTGAGGCAATATATGACTCTGATAATTTGAGCTGTATTCTGGAAATCCAGAAGCTGTGAACTGGTGTGTTATTAATGGTGTTTGTAGTCCTCTTTTCTGCACCTCCAGCAACAAGCTGAAGCCCAAAAGCAGATGGGCTGAGATGCCTGAGAACAGATTTTCACACAGTTCCCGTGGCCTGGCTGCAAGCAGGCATTACTGAAAATCTCCTGAGCTACCTCAGGAGTTAATGTCTTCAAACATCTGCTAAATCTTTCTTCATCTGCTCTGTGTCTCCCTGGGCTGGATTCTTTAGTCTGAGACTGTCAGTGGTAGCACACTTCTGGCACATCTGGACAAAGCACGTGTGACAGCCAAACTGGAATTTGGGGGGCTCTGGGAGCAGTGAGGGAACCCAGCACATTGATGGAGACAAGTGTGTCTCCATGACAGAGGTCAGGATAAATCCAGTGTAGTCAGGAAAGGGAATACCTCATGAGCTGATACAAACATTTCCCTGAAGACAAAGGAAAACAGCTTTTCTGAAACTAAAGGCCTTCTTCCATACCCCTTTTGTGTCTCTTTTGTACTTTTTGTAACTATAATAGACCATGTTTCCAAAGGATTTGGAAAACTGTTTTCATCGCCTGCCTGAGGCCATGAGCAAAAGGGATTTTAATGATTAAATTATATTGGCTGGATATTTAAATCTACTTCCCATGTGGGTGCAATTGGCAGCCTCCACAGAGAGCCACAGTGGACATAATCCTTTTTCAACCAGGACAGACAGCAAACATAATATGTCTTGCAATTTCTGAAGCCACTTTTGACTTCTGTAACTCCATGCTGCACCAAAAGGGAAAACATATGGAGTGAGAAAGGATATCTCAGTGAAAACATCGCCCCAAAAAAGGGCAAAGTCTCTGCTTGACACTGTCATTCCAAGCTTCCACAGTGGAAACTTGGTGGAAACAAGAGGCACCACAATTCCCACAGCTACTCCCACAGAACTTTCCTTTTTTTGTCCTGGTTACATTTTATCATAAGGTATAGATATAAACAAACATTGGATCTAGTTTTAATTAGCATGTCTATTATTCCTCTGTATTTATGTGCTACTAGATCCAGAACAGAAGCCATATGTCTACCAGAATGATTCAGATACCTAAGACCTTAAAACAAAACAAAATAAAACAAAACAAACAAACAAACAAAAAAAACCCCAAACAACATAAAAAAAAGAGCTTGAATTAAGAGAGTTTTCTAAGAAATTATTTGACTTTGTATGGAAACTGTTTTCATTTTCCACTTCATGAGAAAGTCCATACAGTTCACAGTATTGTTATAGAAGTGTTCTTGAAACTGTTGTGGACTTCGGGAAGCCAGAATATGCGATATTTTCAAGCATGATTTCCATTAAAGGCTTCATTTGAAAAGAATCACTGAGTTTTGCAGCCAGAATTGCTAATATTTATGTCAACAACTTTTTTCCTCAAAGCTTTTGAAATGATATGGTTTTCATTACAATGCTTTCTGTGTTCTCACTTCCATCAGCCCCACTCCTAAAGGCCTGATTATTTTTTGCTTTTCTCTGTCATTGGGGAAGCTAAAAAGTGCATTGTCAAAGGGTTCTTTTCCTTCCTTCCTTCCTTCCTTCCTTCCTTCCTTCCTTCCTTCCTTCCTTCCTTCCTTCCTTCCTTCCTTCCTTCCTTCCTTCCTCCCTCCCTCCCTCCCTCCCTCCCTCCCTCTTCTTAGGTCTAACAGGTGATCAGAAAGGTCCAGAGAGGGGAGGACTGGTGGCACACAGATACCTGTAAATAAAAGCCACCCACACACCTACACTTTGTCACTTTTGCCTCTTGCTGAAGTGAACTGCAATAAAATCAATATTGCACAAAGAGATGCACGTCTGCAGTTCTCTGTGTTAAGGCCATGTGTCTCCCAGATGGTAGGGAGTTCTAGTCTAGCCTAAAAGTAAATCAAAAGACCTCTCCTGAATCTCAAGTAATGGATGATTTTGCTGTTTGGATTCAGAAGAAGTAGGGCAAAAGTCTCTGGGCTCCCACTGCTGTGAATCAGGCATGGTTTGCAAAACCAGCAGAGCACTGCTGAGAGAACAGTGTAAGGCAGCCCAGAGCAGAGCAGGCTCCCTGTGCCCCGTTTTGAGGCTGCCAGCCCCTCTCTGCTGAGCAGGCACAGGATGAGCCTGGCTGCAGAATTTTGGCCAGGATAGCAGCTGTGCTGGTGCACAGAGCACCCAGCAGGTCTTACTTGCTGTGGGCACTTCTCTTTGTGCTTTATTTCAGCTTCTATGATCTGCAGCTATCTGTGGCATTCCCTCACCCCTGCACTGATTGTGGGAAGCAAAGGAATTCCTGCACATGAAGGCATCTGCAGCCAGCACTGCATCCATCCCAGCTCTGGATCCTCCTTGTAAATTCTCCCAGGAACCCTGCTGCTGGGGTTTGCCATCAGGGACACCCCTCTGGTGATGAACCCAGTCACACACCAGCCTCCCATCCCTCTCTTACCCTACACAGGGCTGGCAAAAGCACTGGAGCTGGCAGTCCTTCCCCTTCCTTAATCCTGGGATGTGAGTGCCTGAGGCCAAGCCCCTTCCCATGGGACAGAGGAATGGCCCAGTCATCTGAATGTAAGGACTGTGTTAACTCAGACAGAACAAATTAGGACAAGACAAAAGGGACTAGCAAGGATTTTCCCATTGTTTCTCCCAATTCTTTTTCTCCACATAATGAAATAAATGGCTGTAGGCTACATGCACAGGCTGCTAAACCACTTTGACACAAAACTTTTCAGGCTTGAAATCCCAAATGAAAGTCAATCTTGTATTTCTGTCTGCTCCTAAGTCCTACAGTTACCATCCAAGTGTCATTCTTCATGTAAACAAAGGCTTTGAAAAGGGAGTGGGCAGGGAGAAAATAAGCAATATTCTTCACAACCTTTTTTTAATTACCATTTTACAGTTTGGTGCTTTATCTCAGCACTTCACCTGTAGTAGCTATGAACTTGCTCCAAATTAAACATTTGTTTGAAGGATGATGGGGTGACTGGGGTAATCTAAATTTCCGAACTAGCTCATCTCCTTGGGGCCATCAGCTGAGATCCAAAATGTACTTCTTTCAATCTTGTAATTTACTGCACATAAGCTTTACCATCATCTTGAATTTCTCCTTTTGAAAAGTTGAAAAGCGAGTCAAGAGCCTTCATCTCCAGTCCCAGTTCTTATGTACTCGCAAGACATCTTCACATCTGCGTGTCTCTGCTGCTAGATTCTGGGAGATAGGACTTCACACAGAGAAAATCACCCAGAATGGCTCATTTTAACAACCCTTCCCTCGAAGCTGTGAGGAGGTGAGGGGAGCCTTGTTAAAAAGGGGACCAGACTCCCGGTACTAAAGAGATTTCAGCATTTATTGTAATAAAAAGGCCTAAAGCAAGGTGTTGGAACCCAGGACATCTCTCTGACTGTCCTGGATGACTCAAGCCCCTGGCAGGGGGCTCTGAAACCCTGGCATGCAGCCAAAGGCACCTGTGACTTTGATTTTGACCCATGGAGCAAATTACCAAATTTGTATGAAGAATCACAAGTCACAATAGTTTAAGTAGCATAATAGTAGTTGTCATAGGGTGAAAAGTAGAATTTCTGGGATTTTTAGAACAGGGGTTTGGAGTCCCAAGATGGAGGAATTTGGGCGTTCCCTGTCCTTCTTTCTCCTTCCTAACCTCCATGTTCTGGGTGATGCTGGCACTTTTAGACTGGTTTAGAGTAGAGACGGACTGTCTAACATAGGTGATAGGTATTGGAAAATAATGATAAATAAAATACATAGTATATATGTATATATAATTCATAGTATAAAATGTAGACACCAGCCCAGGGATGGGCAGTGTGCCCTTGACAGACCTGCTAAACGGACCTCTGCATGTCTGAGAAAAAATATTTTAGATACGAGACAATAAACAACCTTGTGAACCAAAGCCTAAGAATCCCGACTCTTTCTTCGACCATCGGGCTGGGAAAAAGGGACTCTCGGGTCATCCCGACAGCAGGAAACCCGAGAGCAAGGGGGCCGCGGGCCGAGCAGGAGCGACCCCGCCGAGGATGCTGCAGCGCCGGCGCTGGGGCTCTTCAGCAGCGATGTCCCCGATGCGCCAGGTGGAGCAGCACAGCTTCCCTAGGTCAGAAACCCCTTTTTATCCTGTTTTTTTGTCCCTTTGGATTGGTTTCTTTTTGGATCCTTTATATGCATGAAGGTTTAAGGCGCTTGGCCCATTACACTTCTGACCAGGCTGTTTCCCTTGGGGGTGGTGCACTTTGCTTAGGTGTCATACGCTGAGTACCACATTTCTTATAACTAACAATTTAACCGCTTTTACAATATAATAACCAAACTAGTACATGCTTAACAATTACCAACTATTTTACACCAGTTTCTAACCTATTTTTAGCAGCCTTACCTTGGAGCTGCACTTGTAGAGAGGGTGGCTGATGGAGTCGACGTAGTGGTGCCTCATACAGCGGCTGGGGTCGGAGTCGATCAGGAAGGAGCTCTCTGTTTTACTGTCCGTGTCTCCCATCATCACCAGCAGCGAGAGCATGGAAATCGAAGCTGCGAGTACATGATTTCCCATTGTCGAGGAACTTCTCGCTGGTAACAGCAGAGGGAGGTAGAGCATCAAAAACCCTCCAAATTCTGGAAGCCAGTTCCTTTCCAGGATGGTGAAAAGTCTGGTTTAAGTGTCCGAGCTGTCATTCTTCTTCTCAAATTGGAGTCTGATGAGGTTGTAATACATCAAAGAATCTCCCGCACAGCTGGAATAAAAGCAACATAAATCACAATCCTGAGCAAAAAGACCTCTAGAGAAAATAGACATAAATAGTATTAAGGCACTCAGGACCTGTGCTAACAAAAAAACCTGCTCAGAATGAGCATCATTCCCACAGTAGGTAAGGAATATGGCCTTAAGGAAGGAGATGTCAAAGCCTTGTTATTTTTAGCATTGTTCTATCATTAAAGGGAGATTAAATGACTTTTGACTTTCAACATCACAAGTAGTGCAATGCCATTCTTTTCATTTGGTGATGAAATCCGTCAGAAATTCCTGCAAATTGAAAGGACTGTGTACCCACTCAAAGTGTCAAAGAAGGGCAAAGCTTGGCTGTCTTCCACATTACAGATGGGAATGTCAGGCCCAGGCAGCACATGGAGAGGCTGGAGGCAGGTTGAGCTGTGGCTCTGGAGGCTGCCTGGCCGTGCCCTGCAGCTGCAGGGACAAGGGACATCCCCAGGGTGGAGGGATGCTAAAGGTCCGAGCCAAGGCATGAGCAAAGTGGTCTCCCAGCGACCTGCACTGCATGAGGAACCACCCAGGCCTCTGGCTGAACTGTCCTGCCCTTTGAGTACCAAATTCCCATGCACACACATCCAGGCTTTGTTTGCTTACTTGTCAGGCAGCACTTTCTGGGTGTCAGTGTCTTCCCAACTAATTAAAGGACAGCATCTGAAAAATACGTTTATTATTCCATAATATCCAAGTACTATCCCAGCTATCTATTGGGAAGAAATATGTTCAGGTGGAGACATATGGCTATCTATCCAGGCATCTGGATTTCTGTTTCATGTTGGAGATCAGGAGATTCTCCAGGAAACAGGTACAGGACAGCCCCTGAAACGCTGCCCAGAGATTTGTGCCTGCAGGGGAAGGAAAGTATCTCCATCAGCTGCTTCTTCACAGTCCCTTGATCCTTCTCACAAAGTCTGTAGTCCCAACTGGGTGATTAATTTCACTTTAAATACAAACAGATATAACTTGAAAGAGCTGTGAATTATCCATCTAAACACAGCCCGATGAAGGATAGTCAAAGGATACTCATCAGTACACTTAAAAGTGCAAAGACTTTCAGAAGAAACTTAAGATAAAACAGTTCTCTACTCACAAAGAAATGCTCTGGCAGAGCCTCTTGAGTATTTAAAGAGCTGATGTGTGCCTTTACTGCCTTATACAAGCCTCTTTCAAAATTGTTTTCTGGTTTGCTGGCAGTCCTCTAAACTGACTGATCCTCATCTCCCAAACAGCCTCCCCACCAGAGTGCTTGATGATTTGTATATTGCTTTATAGCCTCCTCCACCACTTCTGTGAGAGGAGTGCCTAGCAGTGACAAATACTTCCAGAGTTCATCCAAGCTGGGATGGCGCTGATGTGACAGCCGAAGTCTCATGCTGGGAAGAAATGTTATTAGGGATGCTCTGTGTGTTAGAGAGACAAAGATGCTCTGTGTATTAGACATTTTTGTTGTTGTTGTTTCAGGCTATTATCCATGTGCTTAAGTAGGAGAGGAAAAATTATGTGACTGTGGATTTAAATGACAATATTTTTTTTCTCCCAGAGTCTGACATATGACCTGGTATATTTTCCTCAGCAAATGCTGCATTAAAAACATACTATGGCTTTGCAGTAAAAAGAACTTAAACAAACAACACTGAACACTTAGAATCTCAGATACAATTATGCACAGCCTCATTCGTGTCGATAAATATCCCTCCAAACATTTCAGCAGCATAGGAGAGAAATCTCTGGGTCACGGGAGCTGGGACAGACTCCCTCCCCGAAGTGAACTGTGCTACTCCAGTTCATGCAGATGATGCCCAAGGATTAGCTAACAGGAGGAGGGATGCACTATTTTTTTCTCCATGTTTAACCTTTTACCTACATTCCTATTCTTTTTTATAAAGAGGCTGACCAAAACATGCTGCTTGGCAAGGTCTCCCTCCAACATAGTTAATCATTATTACACACCCAGTAATTCCCTCTCTGTCCAAATAAATTTACTTGATATTAGACGGTCTCATTTCATGTGATACTACACCCAGGGATCCCCATTTCCCATTCTCTCTGTCCCACTGTTAATTCTGTGCTTCTATATCTTTCCATGGTTTTGATCAGTATGATTTAATACAGTGAGAGAAATCTGAAGTCCTGGCTCAGTTTTCAAAGGCTTATCTCCCTAGTTTTCTTCAGGAAATAATTGGATGACACAGAGTCTGCCTCATGAAAACTCTCTGAGAAAGCTGGGAAGACACAGGGAAAAGTGTGAGAAAAGGAACATGGCTGTACCTTCCTCAGGATAAGCACAGCACAAAAATTATTAACACTTCCACAACCTTTTAAAATTGCCCTGATACTTCACTAAGAAAGAAATGTAGCAGGTTTTGGTAACAATACTTTGAAAGAAGTAAAAAGTATCACATATTTATAAGAAAAAAGAGAGAAAACCATTGTAAGTGTGATCCATTTCTTGTGAAATAAGTGGTTACAGTTGTTTATAGACATACTGGTAAAATGTGTAGGTATATCTCCTGACATAACTATGGGAAGCAGGCACATACATTGTTCAAGCACATATGCTATATATAACACATATAACATATATGGAAGAAAAAGTCTTAGAGGGACATTTAAACACATGGAAGTTAGGGTGTAGATTTTTGATTCTGTTAAAAAAAATCAAAATATTTTCACTTAGGTACATCACCATGATGACGTACGGTGGCATGATATTTTCCATTTCCAGCTGATATTGTGCAATGCCATTTCACTTGAACTTAGCAATATTATTATTTTTTTAAGTTAAAAATTGCATTCCTTTTGAAATGCTATCTGAAATTATAAAATCCTAGATAGCACATGCTATCAGGATTGGCATAAGCAGTTTCCCGTCTATACTTCTGTCCAAAGAACAGAAGCAAGTACAACTGTGCTCATAAATCATCATTACAATGACATTTTGTTTCATTTGGAAAATACCCTTTTTTATTAAAATCAACAAATTCACAGAGCAGATTTTCTTCTATTTCAGCTGTTTTTTCCTCACTTTCTTTCCATGCAAAACCTGTGGTAGATAGCTCGTCTGCCAAGCTAACCAAAAGGAAACCTAAACCCTCCCACTTTACACCATCCTGTAAAGAAAAAGATGCAAATGTAACTTTATATCCTCAGGCTGAAAATTTGCTACAAAAATATATGGCCTAACAGTGGATGATAATCACTACTTCACTTTTTTTTTTTTTTCAGAATTCACTGAGATATGGGAAGTACATTTCATTAGCAATGGCTTCGTTTCCTTTCCATATACCTAGTTTTCAGGATTTCATAGAGACATAACACACTAAGGCTTGTTACAGCTGTTACCTAAAACTGCTGTTAGCTTAAAAACTTCATGGAAAAATAGAAGACATCACAAAGAAAAACTGTATTAACACACAGTCTAAGACTGTATTGCATGTGGACATGGGTGCAAAGTTAGGGTTGTTTTTCCAAATCCACACTCTTATTAACTGCTTTCTGAATAATAATGATTTCTTATCATAGTTTTAATATCATTTGGAGAGTGGTGAAGGCTAAGGTTTTGTTTTGCTTTGAGGACAGAAGAACATTCCATCATCTGGAATTATTTAGCCAGTCACTTTGTGAGAACGTAAACAGAAATTCCCTTTTTGCTATGTATCTTGGAAAAAATAAAGAGCTGAGCAATTCTCCCAAGGTCTATTGGATCTGCACAGCTCTTACCCTGGGAGGTGGGAAGGGAGCAGTGGAAAAGCTCATTTATGGTGTACTTCTAGTCAGTTCCCTGAGCCCCCCATATTAGGCATGCATATGTGTTCAGCTTGGCCTTCATTTGCTGGACATTTTCTGTGTTTGAGACTCCTGCTTGAAGATGAAGGCACCATTTAAGTCACTCAATGCTTTTTGTGTTTTGGAGGCTGCCAAAATCCTGTTGAAGCAGCAGTGTATGTATATAACTTAAGCCTGGCCTTGCATGCTGTGCATATTTAGTAAACACAATTACTTGGATCCTACCATGTAGTTCCCTCAATCTGAATTTGTTATGTAAACAGAAGAGTTGCAAGACTATTCAGTTTCTCCAAACTCCAGACTGAAAAAATTGTCACTAACCACGTATGTATATATATGTGCATGTGTGTCAATTCACTGCTGTTCTGAGAAAAAAAAGCTTCACAAAGTTCTCCATGAGACAAAAATGGATTTCTCAAGAACTTTATCAAATTTAGAAAAGTTTTGATTTTCCAGGAAGATAAGGATTTTGGAACTTCACTCTCCAAGGTCTTGATTGGAGTGGAAACAACTGTGATGGGCAAATTACTCAGTCAGGCTCCCCAGGGGTTTGTTCTGCAGGGTTGAATTCTCCATGACAGAGGCAGCGTGGTCTGTTCCCAAAGATCCTTCAGCACCCACAGCACTCAGGTGGCTCCCAGCCCATGCAGCCATCCACACCATGCCTGGGAACAGCTTGGGAAGTGCTGTGGGACTGAATCCGTGACAATCCAAGCCATTCCAAAGAACAGTTCATGGAGCGGGAGAGGCAGCCCCAGATGAGAGGCTGTGTCTGGCCCTGCTTTTTGTAGAACCACCTCAGAGCCTTTGTCAGTTCCAGCGTATCTTTTAGCTCTGTAAGTAAATGTGATCTGCTTATCTAGCTGTTTTACTGTGGTCATTTCTGTGCCAGCAGTGTAGGAGCTGGTCTCCTGTGCATGCTATCAAAAATCCTCACTTCACTCTGCAGCTGCCTGTCGAAACACCTGACAGAGCCATTGAGTGGCCAAGTGGCAGCCAGGCAGCAGCAGGTGAACACAGGCAAGCCCAGTTGTCTGAGAAATGCCTCCACACAACATTTGAACAGGTTTCTTCCCATCCTGAGGCAAGGCAAATACCAAACCAAATACTGAGTGAGACCCTTACAGCTCTAAATAAGTGAATGTTCCCCCAAGGTCTTGTGCTTAAGAGGATTTGCTCTCCTGACATCCAGCTGTGCTGGAGCTTGTCCCCTTCCATGCCAAGGGGAATGTCTTCATCCATGGTCCAGGAGCTCCATCCACCCATCACACAGCAGGGCAGTGTGTGCCTGCACAGAGGGTACACAAACAACACACACTCCTGGCCAGAGCTGGCAGCAGCTGTTGGGCAAGAGGAGAGGGGAAAGAAAAAGGCAGCAAGAAGGAAAACAGGCTCAGAAGAAGGAAATTTGAGCCTCTTTATCTGGTTGTCCGTGGTAAAGATGTCCATCTTCTGGTCCTACTAAAGCTGTGATGAGAGAAACTCCTGGAAACCATTTTTTACTATGAGATTTCCTTAAGTCTTAATATTTCAGGAGATGAATGCCTGTGACTGAGAGGAAACTGAAAAAATAAAAAAATAGGAAGGCCATGGCATGTGAAGCATAAGAAACAACTTGGCAATTGCAGTAAACGTAATGGAAGCACCCTGGGAGCCTCAGCACACGTGGGATGAGCACACATGGGACTGGTTCCCCGGGCTCGTTTAAGGCCCCAAAAATGTTCCTGCCATGGCGACCCGGTGCATGAGGTGGAAGAAATCCAGCTGAATGGCACTTGAGCTGTCTGAACTTCCCTCTGCTTTTGAAGTTCCCAAGAACATTTCCAGCCCTTCAGGTACTAGGAGAGGGGGAGCAGGAGGTGCCTTCCTGCTCGGCAGTTGAAATAACAA